TTGACTTTGCATAGTCTCTTCAGGAATCTGGAGCTCTCTCTCAGCATTGGGGAGACTGAGCCTTTGAGGGTAAATGCATGGGTCCTGACTGCCTTAGCCCTACAGTGATTGAACTTTAATGACAGTGTCTTCTCCATACTTTCTTATAAGTCATTATGGCTGTCTGGCACATACATAGAGCTCTACACTCGATGCTGTCAAGTTCCAAGTTCCTCAATCATCCTAAAAACTTGCTATTTCTTAGGAGTGTTAAATGACTTCTTTTTACTCTGTACAACGTATTCACGTTTCTCCAGTCTCTAAGTCCAGGGTTACCTGATTCTGTCTCTCTCTCTCTTGTGTGTGTGTGTGTGTGTGTGTGTGTGTGTGTGTGTGTGTGTGTGTGTGTGCGCGCATATGCATGTGTGTGGAGGCCAGAAGTTGATTTCTAGTGTCCTCCTCTATTGCTCTTCATCTAGTTTTTGAGACAGGGTCTCTCACTGAACTCAGTGCTCACTAGACTGACTGGACAGTGACTTCTGCACGGGGGAGGGAGTGTCCACTTGTCTCCACCCCATCAGCTCTAGAGTTACATATGTACTGTATGACACCCAGACTTTATATAGGTTCTGAGGATCAAACTGAGGTCCTCATGATGACACAATAGGCACCTATCCCACTGAGCTATGTCCCCAACCCTTTCTTGGCATTCACCCTTAGAGATGTTTGAATGTCTCCATCTTTGGTTATTTAGTTTTATAAGTTACAAGTAGAAGAATTTGACTGAAAACTCTTCTACGATCTTTGTTAGTTGGACTTTTTGTTTTATCATATTTCCCTTTTCTTTGCCACATAGTATTTGCATGTCTGTCTTCATGCACATGTATATATGTTCTATGTGATATCTAGTTATCTACTCTGTGTTCTTCTAAAGAATGAATGATAGAGCTTAAAACTGGATGGATGTCAGGAAATTATCTGTTTTTTTTTGCCTTTTTATCTAATTTGATAGGTATTCACTGAGGTCTTTCTGGAATGAACCACATATTATAAACAAGAGAGTCTGACATTCACCAGAAAGTACTACATGTATAATACAACCTCTTTTGTTGTTTTTCAGCTTCTTTAACGACTAGAATTTTCAGTGCAAGCTCCTTAAAAACATACCCTTGTTTTTTAAAATAAAGTTTATGGTATTGGAATTGGCAAATACTAGAGGTGGTAGATTTGGTTAAACCCTTATTCTTGCATGCATTTTGTCTTGGGTCTTTTAAATTACCACTATGCTATTTTAAACTGGCAGGGTTTCTGCATGGTTATAGAGGGAGAGTTTTGTTTGTTTCTTTATTTGCTTTAGAGCCTAATTAAAAGGTGGCCAGGGCTGGAGAAATGGTCAGTCTGTAAAGTGCTTCCTGTGAAAGTGTGCCTGGTTCTTTCCATAGGTGCTCAGGGTCCCAGTCCCCACACTTGGGGTCCTCAGCAACGATGGAAAGAACCTGGTGTGGTGGAGTTAGTTACCCCTAACTCCAGTGCTGGGGGTAGGATGGGGTAAATGTGGGGACACAGGACAGATGGATCCCTGGAGCTCCTTGAATAGTCAGCCATTGATGAACTGACTAGCCCCAGTTTCAGTGGGAGACTGTCTGGCAAAAAGTAAAGTTGGAGAGTGATTGAGGAAAGATAGCCAGTGTTGACTTCTGCAACACACACACACACACACACACACACACACACACACACACACACACACACGAAACAAGTCAGATAGAACACATACCCCCTCCTAACCACACACACAAATGATCAGAAGAAAGTGGATTTGAGGGCTGCAAGGAAAAGTTCGGCTCCATTCAGAAGAAACAGCTCTTCTGTATGCTTTGTTTCTAAGGACAGACAGCCATGGATTGGTTCTCACCAAACATCTGTACATGATAAGGAATGAGATAAGGGACTAACCTATATGCAGAGTCCCCTGAGCCACAGAGATTTTTATGTAGTATCAGGAACATTGGATGTGGCTGGATGGATGTGAACTTAGCTAAAGACATCTTCTGGTCAGTGATGGACATCAAATTAAGATGCTGGGACAGAAAGGCTTTAGGGTTGTGGAGTAGCTTCTGCTTGGAAAGCTGGTTCCACTGGCCCAGCAGAGATTGGTGTTAAAGTTTACAAAGCAGAGTTGGTACAGATGCTGGAGCTGAGGGTTTAAGCCTGGGGTAGACTAGAAGTCTAGATTGCTGATAGGCCTCTTTTACAAGGAAATTGAGAGATGGAAAATTCCACAGAGAGCCCTGGGGATTAGAGGCAGCTAAGGAGTGAGCATTTGCTATGATTAGCGAGCAGGATCACATGCAGGTTTAGGCCAGCAGCTTTGCACCGTGAGTAGAGGGCATACCACAGCAGAGATGCTGGTGGAGGGGTCCTGAGAAACCCGTGCCTCCTCCTGTGCCACTTGTAGTTACCCTGGACATGTCTGTATTGTCAACACAGCATAATAATAACTGCTTTAACTTGTTGAGGACATGCAGGGAAGTTTAATTATAACTTCAGAATAAAGGGATAAAGAGTTCTGTTTAAATGAGGAAAACACCTGCAAAATCCACAAGTGTGATTCAGATCTCACCCATAAGTACTGGGGGTGTTGGTGTCTGCAGGAGAGCATTGATTTTAATCATTCAATTGAGGTGTCAATTAGTAACTCTTGTGTTTGCAACCCTGCTTAGTTAGTCTGTGTTAATTCACCTTAAATCCCTGGACTGTTGCTTTGAATTCCTTTTCTAAAGTGCCTTTGAAAGCAAGTGTTTTGTTTGCAGCACCACCTGTATTGAAGAATTTCTCCTTGCTCTTTTCCTTAGGCTTATAATTTTATAAAGTGTTGATTGTAACTTCTTAAGGAGTTTATAAAGTTGGTTATGTAAACAACAAAGCCACCATCTGCATTTAAGAGTTTCCTTAGGCATTACATTTTTATAAAGTGTCTAGTTCTGAAGGAATTTATGTGGGTTTTGAATGAATGAGGTCCTTTGAATGTCCCCGACATGGGACTGCATCTCCTCTGATCACCCCCCTCCACGGCACCAAGCCCTTCACCCAGACCCTGAATGTGTTGTCTTTGCATGCAGAGAGCTTCATAGATTACTGTGAAGACATGAACGTGAAGGGAGCTGGGGCTGGAGAGATAGCTCAGCAGTTAAGAGTGCCTGATGTTCTTGAAAAGGATCAGAGTTTGGGTCCCAGAACCCATGTCAAGCAGCTCACTCCTGAATCTGTATAACTTCAGCTCCAGGTCTGCTGATGTCCCCTTCTATCCTCCAAAAGACATTTGCACAAATTGTGTATGTGCCTGTGTGTGTATATACATGTACACACACACACACACACACACAGAGCAAGTGTTCTTGTGATTCTATGGATGCTTATATTCTACTCCCTTGACAAACTGGTGAAGCATTAGAGAGATCTGTCTGTCTATCTATCTATCTATCTATCTATCTATCTATCTATCTATCTATCTATCTATCTATCTATCTATCTATCTATAGCACAGGCTGGATCTATAACTCATTGTGCAGTTCAGACTTGTCTTAAATGTACAGTCTTCCTGCTTCAGTCTCCTAAGTGATGGAGTTATAGGTATAAGCCACCACATCTCAGGGGTAGGGCATGTAGGGGGCACTCACCCTTGCTTGAACATGTGGAGGATAGAGGTCTACATTGGATATCTTATTTTGTAACATTCTCTCTTATTTTTTAGACAAGGGCTGTCACTGAACTTGGAGGGAGATATTTCAGCTAAACTGCCTTGCCAGCTAGCCCTGGATTCACCAGTGCCCAGTCCCTCATCTCGGGAGGGTTATAGATAGACATTTGTGCTGCAACTGGCTTTTCCATGGGTGCTGGAGATCTGAACTCAAGACCTCATGCTTTTGAATAAAGCAGTTTGCCAACTGAGGCATCTCCCCAGCCCCTCTGATGGAGAATTTTATAAGGAGTTTCTTTGTTTCTGGTCTCCTGTTGGACAGAGAGAATTCATTGGCTTTTGGGGGAAAGCTGAAGCACAGACAGACTCCCATCATGTCTAATTCTTAGAGCTGACTACGGAATAACATCATGGAATTAATTCAGAATCCACTTGAGATTTCCAGATCCAAGAAAGCAGTAGATCCCAGTTTTAATTTTTACTTCCTACCCAATTGATATATTTGGAAATTGCAAGCTTAGTTGAGTGTGTTATTTCCTCAGGGACAGACTGCAAATATATTTATTTATCCATGACTACATATACTGCATATGAGGTACGAGGTTGTCTCCAGTTCAGCAAGATAAATTCTGAAATCTTAAATCCGGTCAACCTTGTTTTTTAGGTGTGTGGCTAAAGAAGATACTGAAATTTGTTTTCTGGAAGAGGCAGGGAAGCCTCAGGGTTCATAATCAGGTTTCAGGGAGGGGCCAGTACTGGCAAACACCTATTAAAAAGGGAGTGCAATGGTCATCATTTATGGAGTAGGAATCAGGTTCAGACTGTCCCTAGGACAGCTGCAGGGTCTCACGAGCACTAGGGTCTGGCACTCAACCAGTGAGCAACTCAACCACTAGCCTGTTTGGAAGGAGAATAGGAGAATCTCCCTGGTAGTATGTAATTTGGTGGCAAAAGGCCATGGTCTTTTTCTGAACATAATTCCATGGGTTTCAGATGACTGACGGCCATCTCCATTGTGTGGGGCTTCAGCAGAGAGCACCAGATCAAAGCAATGTAGTGGCATGTGAGTTGTTTTGCTTCATGTAAATATAAGCATGGCTATGAAGACGTGTTATCGCTCCCTTGGAAAAGTAATTGAGCCTGCAGAAAATAATTAAATCCGCAGTGTCTTGCAATAATTAGAAATTTGAAATTGGGAGGATTAATTATTTCCATCAGATTTTAGTCACTCAAGAAAATGCTCAAAAACGGAGTCCACAGACAGTTGCCAAGTTAATTCACGTCACCACGTCCTTTAATATGCTCACCTTTGTCCCTGCAGGACCATGCAGACCTGCGAAGCCATTTCTTCACAGTTGGGATGAAGCTGGAGACAGTGAATATGAGTGAACCCTTTCATATCTGTCCTGCATCAGTGACCAAGGTGGGTTTCCTGCTTAGCTCCTTGCAACTCCTCACAGTGAATCCCATAGGCCTTCAGAGTACTAACAATAACGCCCAATAAATAAACCGAAGGCAGATGAATGCACCTCCTTCCCAGTTCTGCATCCAGCTCTTTCTGTGAGAGGAGGCTGAGGGCTCTCACTATATACCTCCTGGCATGTACAGAGTTACTGCTCCTCCTTTAATAGCTGTCCACTGTGGAACTGATTTTAAAAGCACTACAAGGGTAACTTACAGGGCTCAATGGATAAGAGGGATTTCAGTGCAAGCCTGAGAACCTGAGCTCAAACCCCCAGATTTTATGTTAAATGTTCCATGTCTGCAATCCAAGCACTTAGAGGACAGAAACAAGAGGATTTCCAGGGCTTGCTAGCCAGCCAGCCTAGTCAAATCCAGCTAGCCACCACCGCTGCTGCAGCTGCCGCCACCACCACCAAAATAGCCAAACACAATTCCAGATTCAGTGAGAAATCTTGTTTCCAGAGAAAAGAACACTTGCCATCCTCCTCTGGCCTGGCACACACACGGGGTGCACACACACACGGGGTGCACACACACACACACACACACACACACACACACGCACACACACACACACACTCAGGTCTTGGCATGTGGCACACACACAAGAAAGACTAATTTGCTCTGCCTTCATGACCGCATGTTTGTATCGAGAAAATTCCTGGAAGTAGTGAAAGCAGATTCTTATTTCCTCATAAACCAGTATGTCGTCGACTCTTTTTATTATCATCTGTTTTCATTGGCTAAAGGAGACCACATGCTTTTGAGACTGGCAGTCAAAATGAAATTCCTTTTCTATGCAAAGTTGTTTTTAATGCTGATCGGGTAGTCTCTTAAGATTATATAATTATTAAGATTACCTATTCTTCATAAGAGAAATTCCAGTGGTTCTAACAATGGTCAAATTCAAATTGTATGCTTCCCACCTTAAATATTAGCTTTTGCTAAGTGGCAGGAGATGCTGACAAGCTTAGCATTTTTAGCCAAATGTAGCTTTCAGTTAAAGACCTTTTATATTCAGAGGAAGAATTTGATTAAAGATTCAAGGTCAATTGCACTTTAATTTCTATTTCCAAGGGAAGTGGATCTATTTTCCTATTAACTCAGACATTTCTATATTTGAACTTTCTTTTCTTCCTCTTTCCTTCCTTCCTTCCTCCTTCCTCCTTCCTTCCTTCCCATCTTTTTCATAATTTGGTAGAATATCAGAAAATTAGTGGTGACACTGTATTAAGCATATAAACTGATTGCAATCATGATATACAGCTTTCTTCTTTTCCTAAATGTTTCTTACTTAGTGAACACATTATTTTTGTAAATTAAAATTTTATTAAGAGGCAAAGTCAACATGCTTTGCTAGATAATATTGGGATTGGAACTCAGGCATCCCTGCTGTTCTACCAACTATTTAAAACCTATGATTGGAAACAGTGTTTGAGGTCTTTATTATGTTTCTGGTAGCCGTCACCAATTTCCCCCAGACTGAAGAGCTGTCCCCCTGTTTTAAAACTTGTTCAGAATTTCCCTTTGTGCCAGAGTTGGGTGGTGTAGCTATGGCAGCCGCCCATTTTCTGGGTATATGAACTTGTCTAAAACACTGCAGTACCATCTTCGCATGTGCGTGCCAGGCCAGAGGAGGATGAAAGTAAGCTTGCAGAGCTGGTGTGCTCATGCCACAGGGCTCACATTTCTCATATTTTTATACTTTAAGTTATTGCTATATTCAGTAGTAGTGACACATTTCTTACAGGTAGCCTCAAATATCATCAATTCAAATCGACTTTCAGCAGCAGAGGTTGAGTTTTCACAATCAATTTCCCTTAAATCATCTCACCAGAGAAGGAAGTATTTGCAGTTAGTTTGAACAACGTGTTCACGTTACTTTTCTTAGCGTTTGTGTGAGCGGAAATTCTTATGTCATTCTGCCTCATGCATGTCCCATTCTTCTCTTACTGCCCATTTGTTGTTTTAATGCATGAGATGCAATGTATGCTTTTTGTCTATTAGAACCCGTGTATGCTTTACCGGAATATTTTTCATGTAGAAAATATTTACAATTAAATATATTTTCACTGGAGGGGATACCAGGAGTAGATATGATCATATTTCATTGTATACATGTCTAAAATTCTCAAAAAATACATTAATCATATTTCTCTAAACAGTGAAAAACATCTTAGAATATTTGGCTTGAGAATGTAACACTGTGTTGTCATTACTTTTTACAATGGAAGTTTCATGCATGGCATCCCTTTGAGGTTTTCTTCTTGGCAGCCCTGTTGAAGATAGAATAACTGCTGTTAAAGCTAGAATAACTGCTGTTAAAGCAGAGATAAATGCGGAGCTTCCTGAGTGTTAATGACCAGGCGTTAACAGTGTAGCAGGGCTGGCTCTAGTATTTCAAACGCTGGGAGATGAGGTGTTAACACTGGCACATGTGAAGTGCATTGCATCCATTAGAGGACAGGACACAGGAACAAAGTCAGGGCTTCTGTTTCCATCACTTCCACTAGCGTTTCTTCTATCAGTTTCTTCCCATTCTGAGCAGCGCAGCCTTAGGTACTTCACAGATGTGTGAGCTCTGTATCAGAGGGAGCACAAAGGAATGATTTTCATCCCTGGGAACATGAGGCCTGATAGACGCGACAGAAGTCAGTGAACTTTTCTCTCAAGTGTTCTCACATCAGTGTGCAGTTTGAGGAATGCTGGAACTCTGAAGAAGGGTCTGGTGGTGCTTTATACACCCTGCCACTGGGATATCCCAAACGTGTGTATGTGTGGTAGGACTGATCACAGTAATCCTGCAGTTAGTGACTGAGCGGTCAAAGGCATTGCTCTGGACAGTGAGGCATAGAGCAAGTCCCTGTTGTTACCAAGAAATAAATACAGTGTAGTGTAAGCTAAATACTAAGGAGACAAACCTCAAGAAGGGCTTAAGTAAAGGCTGGTGGCGATTTAATTTTTGAAATTTTTGTCTTATGTGTATGGTTGTTTTCCCTGCATGTATGTCTATACACCATGTGCGTGACTGGTGCTTGCAGAAGCCAGAGAGGGCACTGGATCCCTTGGAAATGGGGTTACAGACAGGTGTGAGCTACCTTGTGGTTTCTGGGTCCTCTACAAGAACTATTGTTCTTAGCCACTGAGCCACCTCTGCAGTCCAGAGAATGTGTTTTCAAATATAATAAGGAGTTATTATCCTGGGCAAGCTGGTCATGCTTGTCCTTTATAATCCAGGCTGTTCTTAAACTCCTGATCCTCACGCCTCCATCTTCAGGTGGGATTACAGGCTGTGCCCTCATGCCCATCTTGATTCTTTATTTCTTAAAGTAGACTTTCAAAGGCAACCTCAGCGTGTAAAATTAGAACTAGTTACTGGAATAAAATGAGGATGTGAAGATTGCAGTTTCTACTCTTGCTTAATGTTAAAATGCATTTGTCTAGAATATACTTTGTAATGAAGGAGCAAGGAACCACAGCTTAGTAAAAATGGAAAGATATTGCATCTCTCTCTCTCTCTCTCTCTCTCTCTCTCTCTCTCTGTGTGTGTGTGTGTGTGTGTGTGTGTGTATGTTGTCTGTCTGTGTATGCATGTGCGTGCCTGTGTACGTGTGTGATCTTGTGGGGGTGGGTCCTCTGATTTTGCTGTCTGCTTAGAGCTTTGTTTCTTTTTCTTTGTGGTATTGGAGAGTCAATCTAGAACCTGACACATGCTAGGCAAGTGCTCTACCACTAAGCTATATCCTGAGTCCTTTTTAGATTTAGTTTGTTGCTTTGAGGGAGAGTCTTACTAATTTGCCCAGACTGGTCTTGAACTCAATCTGTCAGCAAACTTACGAACTTAGGACCCCGCTGACTTGGTCTCTTTAGCTGGACTGACTTACACCACCAGACCTGTTTGTTCATTTTTATCGTTGGCATTCTTTCTCACATCTATTGTATATTCATGTACAGAACACTTTCCATGCCTTTGTGAATCATTTGATGAATAAAAGAGGTCACTGTCCTCAAAGAACATTTGATATTTTGGTGGTAACAGGTGGCAGGTGGTGATGGGAACACGGAGTAGAGACAGGTTCTGCATACATGATTTCCTCTCTGGCTATAGTATGTTGTATTTTGAAGGCTGTAATTCATGAGCCTAGAAGTCTCCCAGGGCTGAACTCAGCACTGTTGAAGGATCTGGTGTAAGGAGTTTCATCTGTTGTTGAGATTGAGGTGTCATTTTAACCCAGTTTATTTTTATATGGGCAGGAATTTCTCTGATTGTTTGCTTTTCTTCCGTGTGAGAGAGGCCCGCGTTTTATATTTCTGTCTTTATTTTCATTTTCTCTCTCCTGTATATTTTAGTTACTTCTCTCTACTTGTGTATGACCACATGTCTTATTCTGCCTTTAGCCACTGGAATAATTTAGTAATTTGTACTGAAATTCTTTTTTTTTTTTTGTTTTTGGTTTTTACGAGACAGAGTTTCTCTGTATTGTTTTGGAGGCTATCAGTTGAAATTCTGTTTTTTGCTAGCATCAATTTGATAGGACATGCTCAGGGTCTTTGAAACAGTGTCAGGATTTAGATGTGTCAAATCTGAGAAATTAACTGATTTCTGTTTTATTTTTTCTTTTAGGTTTTTAACAATCATTTTTTCCAAGTGACTATTGATGACCTAAGACCTGAGTCTAACAAACTCTCGATGCTGTGCCATGCGGATTCTTTGGGAATTTTGCCAGTACAATGGTGCCTTAAAAATGGAGTCAACCTCACTCCTCCCAAAGGTTCGTATCCTGTGGGAATTTGTGGGCTTGCAACGATCCAGGCTGGTGTCTTGTTGTCTCTGAAATGATGTCATTGTGTTTATATGGAGAAGCTGCAGTGTGAATTGACCTTGATGGAGGCAAAGAGCTTTTCATTGACTTGATTGACATGGGTGTCGCCAGTAGCTCCCCCCCTTGGGAGGTCAGCCTCAATGGCAAGGCATGTCCTCCACCAGTTGCTGTGCAGGTGCTTCTCTCTGATGCTGTGTAGTGAGTGGTCCATGCAACAACGGTACCCAGTGATTGAAGTTAAAGACATGGAAGTGTCAGAAAAGTCATTTTATATGTACAACAAAATGCCAGTGGTGTACTTCTCTACACTTATTTTGCTTTCTCTATGCTCAGATACTCTTAGGATCCAAAAATGTAATGTAGTACCACGTTATGGTAATTCACTTAATGGTATAATATGATCCCATAATTCACTTCATGTGCAATCCATCACAATAAGTCACATAGGGCCAGGTTGCATTAATATACTTTTTAAATTGAGATACAAGAGCCACAGTGCTTAACGACACCCTGTCATTTGTAATGAGAGGCAGGAAAACCAGGAATCCAAGCTCATCCTCAGCTAGACTATGAGAGAGTTTGCATGGCAGGAGAGAAAATTGGAGAAAGATTAAAAAAATAAACTTAATGGGGCAGATTTCAACAGACTACCTTAAATAAAAAGAGGTTTACCTTAACCTTTTCAGATATGTAGGGATTATGGGATTACTTCTGATGTCATGTTTGCTAGCTGGCTGTCACAAGCTACGCACATCATTGTGTTGTGTGGTGCGTGGCTTAGCTCTGGTATTGTCCTTGTTGAACTTTGGTCCTCATTTTTCTTTGTACTTTGTATATCTCCATGTCGGCTCTTGACTCTTCAGATTATAGTTGCGTAGTTACATGGGTTGATGACAGCACTGAACGTTCTTGTCACCGTTTGAAATTTCTGATTCATTGTGTCCTTAAAAATCCTGTTATGAGGACACTTCATCATTGACAGTTCATATAATGTGCCATGCCCAGAGAAACAAGACTTTCAGTGACAGACAGGAGCCGTGGTCTCCACATCTGCCCCCGATGATGATGGAAAAGACTTCAGTCTATGAGCTCTCTGTTCGTTTCTGGGCAGGTTCTTGTCATTGTGTGACCTGAACCATATAAAAAGCTAAATCTTTAAAACTGTCTGGGGGACTTCGTGATAGTCTCTGGGTAGCACGTGTAACCAAGTTGGCAGTCAAACTCTTCACATCTATATACAAGCTTCTACTTTCAGTGGCTTATTGGGGATTTTTATAATTTCTTTCTCACTATAGAAGTTCTGTGTCTGACTACTTGAACAGTATGAAAGCCTCTAAATTAATCTCCTCTGTGTTCTAACTTCTGAAGCATGTGGAATGGACTCCTTCGGAAGAGAGCTTAGATAATGGAAATTCTGCTTGGTTAGATTTTATATATCTCTACTTAGTAATCACATCTATTTTAGAACTAAGAAAGGACAAACAATTACACACTAATTTTGACTACTTGATCAGTTCATGGTGACAGAGGCTTTTGTGGATATCCATGTTAATGAAGTTTTGAATACATATCCTGTGAAATATATGGATGAGATTGTTGACATAGCTTGAATATTTATTAGGAAAATAGGTGTAGCTATTTGGCTACTCACATTTATCATACTAAGAAAATTATTGTGCATTAGTATAATTAAACTCTTAAACCTACAATGAATGATCACCACACATAAAATGAAGTATTTTCTGGTGTGTGTGTGTGTGTGTGTGTGTGTGTGTGTGTGTGTGTGTGTGTGTGCACCTGTGTGCAGGCACACCTGAGGCCAGAAGAGGGTATCAGGTCATCTGGAGCTGGAGATACCTGTGGTTGTACACTGTCAGTGTGATTCTGGGAACCAGACTCTGATCTTTGCAGTGATACCAAGCTCTCTAAACTGCTGAGCCTTACCTGTCCAGCTCCAAGATTTTTATAACTACTGACTGTCCACTGTTATGTTTTTCCTTCTGTCACCCTAATACTTGTGACTCTTGGGTGAAATTATATTAAGCATCCTTCTTAACCATTCCTTACAAAGGTGAAACATGCCTCTCAGCAGATTTTGAAAAAGAAAACCAATTTTTCCTCATGAATTTGCTAGCTTTATTTGTTTATAGGATATTGAGTTATGGTAATTAGTAGTTGCTAAGAGGAAAATCCCACTGGCAAACCTTTCAAGCATTCATGAAGTGACAAGTGTCCTTAGTTAAAGAGCCAATGGTGATCTGTAGCTGTCTTCTGGCTATGCAGTGACTTTGTTGCAGTAGAGAAAAAAGAAACAAGAAATCTATAGAAAAGTGGACAAGGAGTATGAACAGATATAGTCTAAGGAAAATACAGTGGTATGTGTGTGTGTGTATCTGAGATAGGTCAGGAGCTACCCTCAGCTGCTAATCCTCAAGGCAATTCTACATCTGGATTTTTTAAAAAAAATATGTGTATCTTATTTATCTATTGGCATTTTTACTGAAACTTTTTTCGTATAATATATCACACTTTTCCCAATTCTCCTCCCATCCAGCTCGATGTCCTTTCTTTCTGTCTTTCAACAACAAACAAGCAAGCAAAAAAACAAGCAACAACAAAACCCAAGAAACACACACACACACACACACACACACACACACACACACACACACACACACACACACACACACACACACACACAAAATCACAAAGTCGAAAAGCAAACCAAACAGCAGTATTTGGATTTGATGACTGTAGAGAAACACATAGTCTTAGTTTGGGCTCTGAGATTGCAAGTGAGTCCAGTGGTATGGAATACACAGCAAATACTCTAAATACTCTGCAGATGATTTAGAGTATATAGGAGTATGTGTTAACCATTGCATTGAAATTCCGTTTCATAGTCTATGAGGGATTTTAGCACTCAAGTGGAAGGCCTTCATATTTGAAATGAATCTTAAAAATTATCTCATTCCAACCCCAGTCATTTTTTCCCCTGGAGAATTCCAAGCTCCATTGTGTTAAATGATTTCTGAAATCTCAAGACGGTGTCTAAATCCCAGATTTATAACCTCAAACGAATGTGTTTCTGCATAACTATGCCACCCTTGCTGCTGCTCCCATGGCTGGCATCTCTACACAATCCATCCTTCAGGGCAGTGTGGGTGGCCTTGGGCAGCACTGGCAGATTTAGTGGCCAGCCATTACTTTTGCATGGATAATTGGTCTATGCTACAGAGCCGTTGTGAATTACCATATGAAGGTGTAATTTTCCAAATGTTGATGGGTATACCGCAGTTGTGGCTTTGTTTATTGGGCTCCAGTTTCATCTCATGAGGGTAGATTATATTTATTTTGGTAATTAAAATGAATGTGAATTTAGAGCCGTCAATACTGGTGGGGTTTGTACTGTGGTTTAGTGGTTTCCCTTTTGAGGCAGTTCATTATGTCTTATCTTACTCTGAGGTTCGGGAACCTTGTTGCAGGGTTTTTCAAACACCATTCCATATTTTATTAATATATGAAAGGAGAAGAAGATTTTTAAAATCTGCTTTAAGACTGAACTTTGGGGTTTATAGCTAGAATTTGCAAGATATAATGTGCACATCCCTAAGAGATCTCAAAGGTTTTCCCTTGTGCTTAGATATCTGTGACTACTGAGTACTTGCAATTAGATGTTGCCTGGTCTCTGACAGATTTTAGGTAGAAGGTGACATAGGAGAGAGACATGCTAAGAACACAGATCTCTTCATGTTGTTTTGACTCTGCTCTCTTTTAAAAGAGAAATGAAAATATATCTGCCCCAGACTCTAGAGACAAGACTTCTAAGCTAGGATGGAAAGGAACTTCTCAGTGGCTCTCTGCCTCAGTATTTCGCTGGCCAATCTGATCTGATCTGATCTGATCCTATTAGTTTAATTCAATAAAGGATTGCCAGTATTATAGGCCCTACAAAAGTGATTAGATAGATACATAAATAAACTAAAATAAAGGATACATAGGGCATGGACCACCTGGACACATAATACCACAGATTAGTTGTAGAATTCAAAGAGGAAGAATTCCAAACTGAGGGGGGTGTTTCATGGAAAACATCAAGCCTTTAGATTTGCATTGTAAAATTTAGGAGCCAGTATTGAAATTAACTGTGAATTTTAGCACTTTGCTGGTCTCTAGGTAGACTGTTTAAGAGACGTATAAACTGTTTACTGTCATTTAGGAAGGAGCGGTTATTTAAATTATTCCTGGGGCACAAGATAGTGACTTCCTAATTCCAATTCTCTTGCCTTATAGAATCTGAGCCACTGCAGTTGATCTTAGTTCTTTTCAAAAATTCCATTTTATCAACCTTTTGTTGTATTGTAGAGACTATATAGACATTCAGCCAGACTTGGTGGCATATAAATTTAGTTCCAGCACCTGGGAGAGTCAGGAGGATCAGGAGTTCACATTCATGCTTAGTTACATAGTGAGTTTGAGATCAGCCAGGAGCTCATGTTACCCCACTATATATATATATATATATACATGTTTGTGTAAGTGTCTGTGTATATATATGTGTGTGTATACATGTACATACATATATATGTACACACACATGCACACACACAAATGACACTCATTGATGCATTCAAATGATGTTAACGTTTTGGGATTTTGCGTTTTAGAGATTATGATGTACTGGGGTAGTGAGATGGTTCACTCATTAGGTACAAACACATGCTGCACATGCTCAACAATCTGTGTTCAATTCCCAGGACTGACACATACATGTTATGTGTTATCCTCTTGGCTTGGGGCACCTGAATTTTTTTAACTTTTGCAGAATGCAATGTAATTAAATTTTTAAAAAGTATATTTTATCTGACAGTGGAGGCAGGGTGGCTGACATGATTAATAGATCTAGAAAAATATCCTTATTTCTCATCTTTTGATTCATTCTCCACCAAAGAGGTCACTTTTAATTGAAAAGAGTTACGAAGGTGAACCTGGTTGCTTTTAACATTGAAAATATTTCCCACTGTTAAAAGCTAAGATTCCTTTTTGCTCACTTACTCATTCTTTAATATTTTAAGGAGTTATATTTAAGGTGTTATTTTTTCTGTCAACACTTGATATTTATATATCAGAGTCTATTTTTGGAGATATCTGCGTCTCCTAACCTAATTCGAAAGAGCATGTTGGTTTTGCATTTATGCAGAGAAGTATTTTAATTGGCCCACAGTGCCCTATTACTAAATGCTGCCCAACCTAATTCCTATTCTACAAGACAGAGCACTGTGGCTAGTGTTCAGCCAAACTGTCTCTCTGGTTCCCCTCCTCTTGCCTCACTTTCCCTTGCTTTTCTGTGTGATTCCATGAACATAAATAGAAAGAACTCCCATGGGAATGGATAAATATCTACTATTTTAAATGACTATGGGCAGAGTCCTGAGATGTGTAGATGAATATTTTGATACTCCTCACTGCTCCCATTTGTTGTTTTTGGTTGATTTTTGTGTATAAAATACCAGCACATGGTCCACTGGACTCCACAGCACATGGCCCTCTAGACTCCAAAGTAGGATGGCTTTGCATAGGTTTTCTTTTATATTACAACTGTACCATTAAAATTTTGTTCTCACCAGCTTATTCCACACCAGGCTTTCCATTCTGTTTGCTGATATTGGGATTCACTCCTGGGTTTTGGGGCTCACAGATCCTTTTCCATGCAGAACTTACCCCTATACCCTCAAGGAACTGTGTCTCTTTCCTGGGTTCTATGATGGCAATGTCTTGTGAGGACTCATTATCATGCATCACTACACCTGACTCTCCTCCCCTCCCCTCTCCCTCCATTTTCTTCCCCTCCTTTCCTTACCCTACTCATTTCCCCTGTCTCCCATTCCCTCCCCTCCCCTCCTCTCCTCTTTTAAAAATGTAAGTTCTGGAGTTAGAATTCAGGTCCTCATGCCTGTAAAGCACATTTCGTTGGCCGAGTCATCTGCCCAGCACAGCTGACTTTTTAGATTGGTACCTTCTTAACTTTTTGTCAGTGAAATCTTAGCTCATAAAGGGAAGAGTTTTGTCAACTTGCTTCACATCCCTAATTCCTCACACCCAGCATGCATAGGATCAGTATATTCTCTTTTGTGGACAAAGGAAGACGTGTCTAGGATAGAGGCTGAGCACATCCTTGAAGACTAACAGTCTAACAAGCTGACATCCCCTATAGTGCTTTGCATTGTACTTTTTCCATATGAGTATTAAAGTTCTGTGTCCCAACTGACTTCAGAATGTGGGCATCTTTTAGTTTTCTTCTTGTCCAGCTGATAGATGGCAAATATGACATCCTTTCACTTTTCTTAATTTTTACACATTTTTATAACAGGCTCCATGCAAGAGGGGCTCTTACTGTTGTGTGTCTACTTTGTGAGAGAGTAAAATCCTACCTTAAACTTTTCTGATATCCCCATTCTAAGAGACAGGTGGGGGTGCAAGACTACTGCCTTGAGGCAGTCCTAACTCACCACTTTGTACCAAAGTAAGGCCTAGCTCAGAGATGCTTGTACAAGTTACTTGGGTAACATCGGGATTGGTGAAGTTGAGGCAAATGACTTGGGTAGGGGTCACTTGTGGTATGTGTCACAAATTGTGCAGGACTTTCATTGATTGCACATCATCTGTGTATTATACTAGAACAAAGATGGTAGGCTACCAAATTTTTATTACTGAAGTCTTTTCACAGTCATGAGTAAAAATTTGAAAAGTACCAAGAGGTTGAACACAAGTTCAAAACAATTATTTTTCTTATATTTTTCTGTTCTTTGCGTATTTTGCATAACTCTAGCAATTATATGTGTTGACAGTCTTTTTAGCTATGGCCACAACAATTACATTTTCATCATTTTTCCCTAGCCATGCAGTTTCATTCCTGTATGATATCCAAGGGGCTTGGGGATGTCTTGGGTAAATCTTATGTCATTTTCTGTTAATGAAGTGTTATTTCTGCCTTCCCCAAGTTTCATAAACTTGCCGTACATTTCCTAATATATAGCCCACTCTTCAGTTGGAGGGGTCATTTTTATGGAATAAGGTCCTAGAAATGAAACTGTCAACAGCATAATTTTATACTGTAAGTTTTTCAAAGGCACTGTCCATTTGCACAACCATACTTAATGACTGCAAGTAGAGCTGCTTGATGCCTGTTCATTTGTATCACAAGATAACGGGTCATCAGTCTCTTCCCCCTTGCACCCATACGATTTGGAATGTGGTCATTCAAAATCAATAGTAATAAAGGCTTAAATACCTTTAATGGCTGTCATTCACACAGCCTCCCTAGGTGGCTTCTTAGGAATTGTAATGGCTTAAGGGGTTTTATTTCCTCTTTATTTTTTTCCTCCTCTTTACGGTTTTCTTCCCTGCCTCCTGGTTTAAAACATGTTTTCCTGGCTGTGCTTAAGCCTCGATACTTCTTGTTCCGTCTTTGTTGATGAATGAGTGTAATTGACCCCTGTTGTCTCTATTATACAATCCATGGCAATTTGTTTTTTATGTAGTAGTTATTTTCTGAGCTGTCTCAAAACTGCCTTACAAAAAGAGCTCATTATCAGCCCAAAGGAAAAGAATTTTAAATGGTGGAATGAATAACAGTCTCTGAGAGAAGGGGGAGGAGAGTCTAAGCCATTCCAATTTTCAAGTAAATGAGTGAGTTTTAGGGTCAAGATAATTAATTGCTGCTTAGGTGAAACCCAGCAAGACTTGATTATATCTAGAAATTATTAGATTAAAAATGGCTTCCCTGTGGACACTGTTGCACTCTGGATGTATAGAAGGATTGAATGCAGGTCCAAGATGGCACTCTGTGTGACATTTTGCAGTCCATTGGAAACTGGATGTGGAAAACCCAGCTAAATATCTATATGTAACAACCAGGGGTGACTTCTAAGCCAGAAGATTTGATGTGAGCAGATATATTCCACACAGAATACCCAAATGCAGTTCATACATACAGTTGAATGAATATCAGAGAATACTTTGTACTGGAGAGATAGCTCAGTTGGTACAGGGGTTGTCTCTCACACATGGGGACCAGAGCTCTGTCTCCAGGACCCATGTGAAAAAGAGCTAGGTATGGTGTGGCAAGAAGAACCAGGTATGGTGTGGAGTGTGTCTGTAGGTACAGGGCTGAGAGATCTCAGGGATTTGCCTGGTTCTGCCTCTACAGTCCTGTACCTACAGACACTGAGCACTCCTGTTTCATACAGAGCCAAACATACATTGCATTAAGAAACAATAGCAATAGTTGTACTCTAACTTCCACACACATTTTCCTTCATGAATATGCATGAACTCAAATGGGCATGAAAAACTTTGTCATGCACCCATTTTGGATTTTCCAGGTGCTTCTACACCATAATCTCATGAATTTTTAATTTTTAGCTTTTATGCTCAAGCATGTATGTGTGTGTGAGTTGTTGGAAGCCAGAAAAGGGTCTGGGTTCTCTGGAGGTAGAGTTACTCATACACACATAGTCGGTGCAGTCACCCTGATTCATAGACTTGAAAGCAAAAGGGAGTGGGTCTCTGTATTTGTTTTATTTTGATTAGAAAACATGGTCAGGCTAAGGTACATCCTGACTACGATGACGGTAGTAGCATCACTGGTAAGTTCACCTAGTGTCCACTTTTGGTCAGTTCAAGTTCCCATAAAGTAAGTTCTTAAGAGATTTCTAAAGCATATTTTTGACATAAATGCCCCACATCCTCTCTTCCTCCTCTCTCTCTCTCTCTGTCTCTGTCTCTGTCTCTGTCTCTGTCTCTGTCTCTCTCTCTCTCTCTCTCAAATTCTGTCTGCTGTTCTCAGTAGCAAGTCTCTCCATTGTCAAGAGCCTCTCTAAAGCAGATGGTTGCTATCAACTTCCTTCACAAGATTTCTGGTCCCAGTAACTACATGATCCCACACCTTCTTTACCTGTATTTAACACATTCCACTTTCTTAATTGTTTCTCTTGATCATCAAGAAAGCTCGAGAGCTTCCAGGCTTGAGAAGACTTCACTCTTTGGTTCTCAACTTAAGTTTCTTATTATTTTTCAAAGATACCCCATCTAGACTGACTGTTGCCTGACATCCAGCTCAGCTAAGAGCTTGTGTGTTCCCTTCCTCACAGGTTACTCGGGCCAGGACTTTGACTGGGCAGATTATCACAAGCAGCATGGAGCAGAAGAAGCACCGCCCTTCTGCTTCAGAAATGTAAGACACTTCCCGTTTGTTCCTTTTTGAAGTTGCAGATGTTATACCCTATACATTTTTGTGATTTTTTTTCCTATTTGGTGATCAGGTGTGGAGTACTACTTTGCACAGCAGGGTCCTGGAACCATCATAGGTTTCAAAACAAGTTTAATTTCATGTTCCCTTGACTAACAAACTCACAGTAGCTCCAACATGCTAGAGTTTAGTTCCTGCGTTTGGAAGAGCCAAAGCTCAGAGATGCTTTGTTCTTAGAGTTTATTAAAGTGTGTAATAAACTGGGCTGGGAATGGAGCTTTGTTGGAAGATTGATTGCCTAGAGTCAGTGACTCAGTTCCCAGCACTGCATAAGCTGGGTGTGCTAGTGTAAACCTGTAATCTCAGCACTTTGTTGGTAAAGGCAGGAAGATTAGTGGTTCAAAACAATTCTCTGCTACATAGTGAGGCTGAGGCTAGCCCAGGCTACAAGAAACCTTATTTTCAATAGGTAGGTAGGTAAGTAGATAGATAGATGACAGACAGAGAGACAGACACTTTAGGAAGTGCTTTTGTTACTAGTAAGATGCCAGCTGAGCAGCTGTCTGCAGGGCTTACTTTAAACTATTACATCATTGTCATTGCAGCAGTATGTTAGTGGCATAAACTAAAAATAAATAAATGAACTTACTCACCAGCAAGAGGTGGTAAAGTTTGGTGAAGTAGTTGGCAAAAACATTTCATCAACCGCAGAGACTATAGCAAGGGATATGGACTACTACTTCTGTTTTAAGAATGAAGTGTGTATCAACATACCTGTAGTTAACAAAGTAAATCCCTTATGCTAAGAAGAAATGACACCCCCCTTTCAATTGAGACCTGCAGCTTTTACCCTTCGTAGCATTTGCAAACCCAAAGGCTTGCTTTTGACCCTGTGTTCTCAGAGTTACTGATTGACTGTCCATCCTGCAGGGATGTCTGTGCCACAGGGGTAACAGGATTCAAAGAGCAGGAAGGGAAAGCATGGCCTCTGAGAAGCTTGTCTGAGCAGAATTGAAGCTCAGGATGATGGAACATGAAGTAGTGTGATTAATGGGTTCATGTGTACTCCTAAATACAGAGGAATAGCAGCAGCAGGATTGGCAACAAGGATTCAGTTGACTATTCAACATTTCAGTTAATGACATTAACGGATGGGGTCAGTTTCTCTGCAGCAGCATAGTACTTCAGGGAATGTGTTTTAATCTGTGTGATGGGGACAGGTGTGACTATGTTCCAGGACCGCCTTGAGGCTTATCAAGCCCAGTGACACATGACTTGATATTATGTGGATGTCACTGTCTCAGAATATACTGGCCTGCCTTTCGTGGAAGACTGGGGAAATAGCCTGTATTGGCTCAAAACCTGTTCATGGTTATGCTTTCTACCTCTCAAGAGAAACATTCCTTCCCTGACTCTTTAGTGTTGGAAAGGAAATTTTCACATCATTCCTTGCCTCCATTTTTAGAGCATATTTCTCCCATGGCAGCATATTTCCGAGAGAAAGAGAGAGAGAGAGAGAGAGAGAGAGAGAGAGAGAGAGAGACAGAGACAGAGACAGAGACAGAGACAGAGACAGAGAGACAGAGAGAGACAGAGAGAGAGAGAGACAGAGAGACAGAGAGAGACAGAGACAGAGAGAGAGAGAGAGAGAGAGAGAGAGAGAGAGAGAGAGAGAGAGAGAGAGAGAGAGAGAGATTGATTCGGGGGTTGGGGGATAGGGGCTGCCCAGACATTAATGTTAGCTCTCTCTCTCTCTCTCTCTCTCTCTCTCTCTCTCTCTCTCTCTCTCTCTCTCTCTCTCTCAATATTTTGAGTACACACATACGCACACACTCTCTCTCTGAAATCGTTCACTGATTTCTGCTAGGCTGGCTAGCCAACAAGCCCCAGAATCTTTCTGTCATCCCCCTCCAGTGTTAGCATTACACATGACTTTTTCCATGGATGTTAGGGATCTGAACTCAGGTCCTAACGCTCTCTTGGCAAACATCTTCCCTACTGAGCCATCTCACCAGCCCTCTGAAAATTTCCTTTTATCCAGGAGCGTCTACATGGCATTTCATTCTGGAGCAATTAACCGCATACCAGGTTGTCTTTGGAGCTTCCAGGATTCAGTCACCAAGATTAAATCTTGCTTAATGTATTTGCTGGTGTATTCATTAGGAATGCTTTTGTTGCTGGCTCCCCATTTATTTAATAGACAGGAGTGTTGTCTGCCTGCCGGCATATGCATTGCATACTGGGACTCCGCTGAATTTGTTAGCTTGCTACAAGTGCTCTTTAATGGAATGCTTATTATGAATTCATTTTTTAATCACACATCTCATGTGTACAAGAGGAGGGCTGTGTGGAACTGGATATGCCGAGGACATTTCCCTCGGGATGTTTTAACAATCAGAGTTGGTTATGGGATGGACTGACATAGCCAAATGCTTAGTAAAGGAAACTCAGAGGTAACAGTTTTGTTATTGATCTTTTATAAATTATCCTCAAGCAGTGAGAGGAAATGAAAAGAGGTTATGTGGTTGTAGCTTTTCCTTATTAAGTGAGATAAAATGCCTTTTAACTTCAAGGTTCTCCATGCAGCCACCCAGCTGTGCTATCAGAAAGAGGTTTTATATGTAATTGTGTGAATGAGAGAGAGTGACCTGTGTGTGTATATGGGGGGGGCATAAAGATCAGCCCACCTTAAACATCCCTGCTTCCTATTTCTAGAGAAATGTTGCAGGGAGGGAGGAAATCGACTTTTTTTTTAAAGCACGCAGGGCATAATTTTTGTTCTGATTACATGAGGACACAATTGCCTTTTCAACTGCTTTTATAAAAAGATGCTTAAATCTAAATTACTCTGATTTCTTTCCTCATAAGAGTCACATAACGGTACAGTCTTTTATTGGCTTTAGGAATCTGTTTAGATGAGTTTATATATTTCAAAGTAGATATGTTTTTATAGTACTCTAGCATATTTGATTGCAATTTATAGTAGCTGCTGTTTGGGGAAAGCCACATTTATTTGAGAGTAATATTTGGAGAGAGGTTTGCTCATCGTACTGAGAAAACTCATACTGACTTGATCTTCCTGAAATAGCTACTTAACTCCAGACCTACTATCAAAAACACTCACTTGGGCGTTGTGGAGCATGAATAAAGACAACCAGACATGTTCTGGGGCAGAGCAAGCAGTTGGAAAGAAGTGCCATGGTCAATGTTCACATTTCTATGCCCACAGTGTGAAGATAACCTAAGCTCACAGTGTATGAGGCAACTGAGTCCTGGCAAATATAGATACAATTTTGGACAGTGGAGAGCCAGGTAGACAAAGCCCAGAATCCTGTTCATTCAATGGCACCTGCATTGTTGGTGGACTGCTGAATCTTCTATGTCCCAGGAAATCTCCTGTTAGCCTAGGTGAGGAAAGAACAGAGTGGGCGTTTAAATTGCTTCTAAAGAGACAGAGTATGTGGTTTGAATACATCCAACAAGAGAGTTTGCTAAACCTGAAAACAGAAACAAAAGCACAAATCCTATACATAGCCTTGTGGGATTATAGCACAATCCAGAGTTTCTGTGTCATTACCTTTAGACCTTGCATGTTTCAACTAATGCACGCAGAAGCTGGAAACTGTATTCCTTCTGAGAAGGAAGAAGAGGAAAAAGAAAAGAAAACAGAAACCAAGCATGATCCAGATACTGGGATTAGCAGACATGCATTGCACATCCCCTGTTCTGAAACTCAGTTTTAGAAAGTGTGGGTCTTACTATGAGATACCCACACCAGCAGCTTTAGCACCCCCTAGGGGCCTTTTGGAAATACTGATTCTTTAGTTCTCTCCATGTTTCTGATCCACCCTGGAATTTGATAATGGTAGATGTAAAGGAAAGTATGCTTGTTATGCATGTAAAGACAGGAAATAAAAGCTGCCAAAGCTAGAAGCTTTAGAATTGAGGATGGTGCCTGAACTAAAGGAATCCATCAGTTTAATAGCAGAATGGAAATGGGAGTTACTGACCTTGAATGTAGAAATCATGATTGGTGTGGAACAGAGAGAAAAGAAAAAAATTGCAAGGAGAAATAAAGAAGAGGAATGAATCTTGAGGAGCAGTCTCCTGTGACCTTGGAGACCTAGAAGAAGTGACTGAAGGAAGATGAAAACAGATACCTCCCCTGGAGGATATGATGACAAAGAAGCAGAAAGACACACTTAGCTTCACAGTCAGCAGGGCTTGTGAAAGTTAGAAGCTGATGATGCTTCTCTAGCGTGACAGTTATTTTTAATTGTCCACGTGCCTTGATCTAGAATGGCCTGGAATGGAGTCTCAGTGATGGGTCTTCTTTATCGGGTTGGCCTGTGGAAGATTGTCTTGGTTGCCTTAACTGATGTGGTGAGATCCAGCATACTGTGGACAGTGTCATTCTCTGGGTTTGGGTCCTTGACTGCAGAGGAAATAAGCTGAGGAATGAACATGTGTGTGTCCGTTCCCTTTGCCCCAGCTGTGGGCATAACAGAACCAGCTGTTTCAAGTTGCTGCTGCCTTGACTTCCCAGATATGATGGACCATGGGCTGGAACTGAGTTAAACCAAATGCTTTCTCTCCTAAGTTGCGCTTTTTCTTTGTGTGTGTGTGTGTGTGTGTTGTGTGTGTGTGTTTTATCACAGCAACATGAGCCCAACAAAGACAACAAGGTATCTGTTAGAATGGCTGAATTTTGGCACACCAGCCGTGTCAATGTCCCTGGAGAGTTATAGTCACTAGGGCACTTGTGGGAATTCAGAAACAAGGTTTAACATCTGTTTCTTATATAACCCATCAATTCTGTTTCTAGAGAAGTGAAAATTTGTTGTGAAGAGGGTTGAGCTTGGATCCCCCTTCATTCCAATGATCAAGTCTGAACCCCTCAAAATGTGGTGTTTTGAGTGACGATGTCTAAAGAAAGGACTATGATAAGATGAAGTCCTAATCCTGTATGACCTGTGTTCTTATCAAAAGAGTAAGTCAGGACTCAATACATACAGAGGGATGATCATGGGAGCACACAGGCTTCAGCCAACCATCTGTAAGTCACAGGAACCAACCAGATGAAAGCTTGATGTTGCTGTCTTAGTTTCTGGGACTTCGAGAAAACTTTCTTGGGTTGTGTAGGCCACTTAGTCCGTGGCATTTGTTAAGGTAAACCAAAGTTACCTTAACACACAAAAAAGTGCACAAGCAGGGTTGTAGCAGCTTCAGTTACAATAACCACATTTTGAAAATGGTTCAATGTCCCTTAACCGGCAAATGGACAGATAGATTGTGATGTATATACATTAACTACTCAGCCATAAAATAGAACAAACTACGTATGATTCTTGCAAGAATGATCCTCAGATACATTCTACCAAGTGTCCTGCTTTCATTTCTGTTGCTGCAATAAAATATCTTGACCCAAATCTACTTGGGAGAAAGATTCCAGCTGAGAGTCTATGGAAGCAGGGAAGTCAAGGCAGGGACACGAGGCTGTTCACTTTACATGTGCAGTCCAGAATAAAGAAAAGCAACCCCTTCCCCCTTGTTGCCCTTTTCTACAGTTTATGACCCAGCCCACGAAGTCCTCCCACTCACATTTGGAACATATCTTTCCCCTCAACAAACAATCAAGAGTTCCTCCCATCCCCCCTCAGCATACTCTTGGGCCAACCTGAGCTAAATAGTTTCTCATTAAGACCCTCTTCACAGTTCATTCTAGTCTGTGGCAAGTTGACTTTTAAAATCAACCATCAACCAAGTGAAGGAAGACAGACTCAAAGGATCTCATAGAATGTGATTCTATCTATGCGATAACATAAAATAAATACATTGAATTACAGAAACGAAAGCCAGAGTGATAGCTTTTGTTTCTGAACTGAGGAACTGAGGAACTGAGGGTCAAGGACTGGGTACATAGTACTGTGCAAACGTGTTTGGGGCTGTTCAGCAACATAACTGCAGTTGTGGGTGCATATGGTTGTATGCATTGGTCCAACAGCATTATCTTTATAGACCAACTAGGATGTCCTAAGCAGTAGACTTTAGTATATGAATTCTGTGTGTGTGTGTGTGTGTGTGTGTGTGTTTCTAGTACTTGTGTGTGTGTGTGTGTGAGTGCACATACAGACCTTCGGACAGCCTCAGGTGTCATTCCTCAGCTGTGGTTCACATAAATCAAAGCTCCTGTTGGCCTGAAGCTCTCCAAGGGGTCCAGGCTGGCTGACTAGCAAACCTCAGGGATTTGTCTGTCTCCTTCCCTAGTGCTGGAATTTCAAGTAAAGGTCACCATATCTGCATTTTTAAAATGTTGGTTTGGGGATTGAACTTGAGTCCTCTTGCTTACATGACAAGTACTTAGAGACTAAGGCATCCTTCTGTATCTCCCAGCCCCTACTCCCCCCCCCCCCGTGTGTGTGTGTGTGTGTATGTGTGTGTGTGTGTGTGTGTAGTTAATTAGAAAAGTAAAGACAAATGAGGAATATGAAAATAAAGACAATTTCACATAAATGAAAACGAAGGAATTTGTCACCAACAGACCCGTGCTATAAGCTAAAGGGCATTATTTAAATGTCCTTTAAAAGAAGATGATACCATATGGCTACTCCATCTGCCTTGTTTAACACCCTAGGTATGATTTTAGCAAGCAATATAGAAGAGCAGAGAAATGATGTGTTTTACAAAGTTCATAGAATTGAAGTTCAAACTATGAGAGAAAGAATGTGTCTATAGCCTCATTGATTTAGTACAACGTGTCAGGTGTCCACCGAGTGTTAAGCACAGTTCTGACCTATGCAATAAAAAATGCATGACCCTTTGCTCGTGAGCAGTGGGGAAAACAAGCCTGTCTGTCTCAGGAATAAGGTGCAGTGTGTTTACTGTATTCACTGGCCAGTTCTGTTTCAGGAATAAGGTGCAGTGTGTCTACTGTCTTCACTGGCCAGTTCTGTAGTCACACGTTATCCTTCCCTGGGAGCTGCTGGCTCAGGCCTGCTTCTCTTTTCTTTCAGGCAGCCTTCAATCGGGGCTTCACAAAGAACATGAAGCTTGAAGCTGTGAACCCCAGGAATCCAGGAGAACTGTGTGTGGCCTCTGTGGTCAGTGTGAAGGGGCGGCTGCTCTGGCTCCATCTAGAAGGTATGTACAATCAGCTGCTGCTTACGAGTTCTTGGGGGTCCTCTCCAAGGGGTACAGGAAGATTCAGCACTCTCATGAATGCCCCTCTTGTTACCCTCCTGTTTAAACAGATCTTAAATTATTCAGCGTTCTTAAATAAGTGAAACTAATCAAATACAAATTCATTCCGCGGCGCTCGTCTTAACTAATAATTTCATGAAATGAGATGCTGGCCAGATAATTATGTTTGGAACACACTGGTCTTTTTACATCTATGATTATAAAAGCTAATGTGGCAATTAAATTAATATGAGTCACTAAAAATGGTATTTGAGGTCTTGGTCATTATGAGAATAAAATGATATATTTGCATTTTAATGTGGTCAATACCCTTCATGTTTTTCTTCTGTACATGTTTAATCTTTTTCCTCAAAATACTAATTTGAGGATGCTCTCTCTCTCTCTCCAAACACATTTAATATTTTTTTCAATGATGTTGAAACAGTTTTTTTTACAGATACTTTAGTTTAGAATATGCAGAAAATTCACAGTGTAATGTATTTTGTGAATAGAGCATTTTAGATTTAGGCATAACATTGTGTCTTGCATGTGTCGTATTTTGAATTAGAAATAATTAAAATAGATTTAATCTCTAAGGATTCCCAGTCTTTTCATAATGTAATAACAACTCAGATGTTTGATGCATATGCAAAGCAATAAGAATAGGCAAGATTATAAAAGACTTCTAGATCTTTGGTATATTCTTAGCTTACATCTTATGACACGTTCCTGTCACTATTTGCCTTAGTTACTTTTCTGTTGCTGTGATGAAACACCATGACGTAATGAAACAAAATCTCATTGAGCTTGTGACATCAGAGGGTTAGAGTTCATGATGGCTGAGCAAAGGCTACAGCAGGAACAGCTGATAGTTCACATCTTGACCTACAGTCAAGAGGGAACAGTGGGAATGTCAAGGGTCTTTTGAAACTTTAAAGCCTGCTCCCCATGACACACCTCCAACAAGGCCACGCCTCCTAATCCTTCCCAAACAATTCCAGGAGCTGGGGTCCAAGTTCTTAGAAGGGGCATTCTTTTATTTTATTAATTTTTATTTAAATTAAGTACAATCTTATTTTACACACCAATCCCAGTTCCCTCTCTATCCCATCCTCCCATTACCCTTACCAAACCCCTCGCACTCCTCAAGGAGCATGAGGCCTCCCATGAGGGATCGTCAAAGTCTGTCATTTGAAACAGGACCTAGGCCCTCCCCCATGTATCTAGGCTGAGAGACTATCCCTAGGAGGAGCATTGTAATTCAAATCACTACATGATTGGAAAAGGACGTGTGGAAGAAAGGGCTAGAATTGGCACTAATAGCATGTGATCCCTATTTCCCATGGAAGCAGGTCTGAATATTGCATGCCAAATTCTCAGATTAGTTCATAGTCTCATCAACATTATAGTCGATTGAAAGATGTGAAGCATGCTCATCCTAGATGTCTTTGTGTCTTTAATTTCTAGATAATAATGTAAACATTGCTGTAGTTTTCTGTGTCAAAATCCATCTGAATTAACTGAAATTCTGAGAATGGGTTTTTCTTTGTGGATTCCTAGTGAATGGCTTCCACTTGGAAGCAATAAAAACAAAGTCACGGGCAAAATGGTGACACTTTTACAGTTACAAAGGGGACACCTTTGGTTTTGTTGCTACTTGTAGACTAAGATCAGTTGCTGTTGGAGACACAAGATCACTCCCATGGCTTCTCACCACTCACTCAGCTTCTGTCTATGTGTGTTGAGCTACACTAATGAGACTCTGCAAAACAGAAATGGTGACGTTCGAAGCCCATGTTTCCTCTTTATTATTTAGCACATTATGGTTGAGATTCCGTGGCAGTCATTATTTATTTAGCAGTTTCTCCTTTCAGTATACTTTGCAGCTGTTAATTACCTAACACAAACAGCAGTAAGAGTGTCCTGATTTTTATAGCTGGAGAAACCAGCTAAGCCATTAAGATCTGCCTGGGGTTCATTTTCATTGCTCTTGACATTTTCTGTTGCTTAATTCGCTAGACGCTGCAGCTTCCTGCTTCTTGAAAGAGAGTGATGAGCATCATTTAATACATATTTAACATTTTTGACCATACCTTTTTTTGTTCTGATTTCCTCAAGATACAAAATTTTGGATTTTACTGGGAAAAAAACTCTACCCCAAACCCCAAAAAAAAAAACCTATCCCACATCTATTCTTATATTTTTTATAGTGCTTTGTGTAAAAAGGAAAACCAGGAAGCAAAAATTCAAAAAAAAGAGTTTCCATTTTTCCAGACCTAATATAGTTTTTAAAAAGTGCTTGTAAACAATTGTTTGAATATTTCCTAGTGACTGTTGAGTATTATATGGCATTATTGGGCAAAAGCATGCACCTGTTTCTTTACTTAAAAGATACTTGCTGTGAAAGCGTGAGAACCTAAATTTGGTTGCTGAGTACCCATGTGAAGAGCTGATGCAGCGTGCCCCTGTCATAGCAGGACTGGAAAGGCGGAGAGGGACCCCAGGGCCACTCTGGTCAGTCAGTCTAGCTGCTTTGGTGAGCTTCCAGATTCAATGGCGGGACCCTGTCTCAAAATAAGATGGTAGTGATTAAGTAATATGCCCAACACTGTCCTTTGGCCTTTATATATGCATATACATGTGGGTGGGAGTGTGCTAAGGTGTATTTACACACACACACACATTCACACACACATGCACACATACAGCATATATTAAACTTCAGACCATCTTCTTGGTTTTTCTTAGATTTTATTTTTGTTTTGCTTTATTTGGACTTTGAGCTTGGAGTTTGTTTTACCTTCTAAAGTGACACTCGGTGGCACTGATTTCTCTCCATTTTACAGTTTCATCTACACATAGCATCCCCATCCCAGTCCTGGGGACAAAATGGTAGAGCTTCATTATGGTCACTTTGTGGCTATTAAATAACTTTAGAGGGTAATGATTATTCTGATTACAGGCCATTTATTTGACACTTTAAATTTATAAAGGTCTTTACAACAATTTTATTAGTTATTTTAATGCATTAAATCACTTTGAAGCCTTTTCAGTGTATGGCTGATTGACCACTTTTAGGTAATTAAAATGATCATTTCGAGTTAATATTTGACTCCGTAAGAAGCCAGATCACTCTTTAAGTATCTTTAGAAGGTCTTTTATTAAAAAGAAATCAATGAATAAAGTATATGAGATTAATGTAATATTTTTAGGTCACACTGGCAAAAGATTCTAATTCTCACAAACCACTGACTGGAAAGGAGACACGTCGCAGCAGGGGTTAGTGTCTTGGGGTGGCCCCTGCACTGCTTTCTCTCATCTCATTATTCCAGTGTAGGTAATTCCATCTGGAGCTACGAACGCTCTCCCGGGACCATACTTTCAGTTTTCATGTCTCCAGTAGTGCCGCTGTGAGCTGCACGGCATGCTCGTCCCTCAGTCGTCTCCCAAACTAGTGAAGCTTATCCAGCTCACTTTCTTGTGCAGCGGATGTGGCCTGGTATTTTACATGTGTGCATGGTTCTTTTGTCCTTCAGTGGGGTCAGATTGTTGTGTTGCCTTCTTTGGCCTCTTTTGTGTCACCAACTTTCTCAGAATCCTTTCTTTTGGACACATTATGAGGTGTAAGTTGCCATTCCCTTATCTAAAATGCTGGAGAGCAGGTCTTTAGGATTTTTGAATATTTGCTTGTACGTAGGATCCAAATTGAAATGTGAAATCACCTCTCTCTCTCTTCTCTCTCTCTCTCTCTCTCTCTCTCTCTCTCTCTCTCTCTGAGAGAAAAGTCAGAAGAGGGAGAAAAGGAGGTATGGGTCTGAAAGTAACTATGAATTATTTTTAATAGACTGTACAAAATAACCAAACTGCATCCTGGACAGTTTTCTTTATGAGGTGTCATAATGGCACTCTGAAATTTTCCCGGTTTGGATCATTTGCATCTAGCAATGTGGATTCAGTCTCCCTGTATATCCGTGTACAAATCTTTATTGAACATCTCATCAGTGACCCAATGGTACTCAGCTCGCATTTCCAGTGATTGATACACTGATTGTTCAAGAAACTTGAATAACTTAGGTTTGTGTTCAGAATTGCACCAAAGAAATTTTAGTTGTAAAAGGTATTGTGCCTTTGAAAACTTGTGGTGAAATAAATGCAGTGTAAAGTTGACTCTTTAGACTAAAGTTTTAGAAGTGTCTGGGCATGTTGCATTAAATTAATGAACATCACTGTGCGCAACATCACCAGAATCCACTTCCAGAACTTTCTTATTTTCAAATGGAAACTTAGTACTCATTACACTAAACTCCTGTGGATTTCACCACAGGCCTTGGCAGCCGCTGTTCTGGCTCTATAAACTTCCTATAAACCCCCATGGAGATAGTCTTACAGTGTTTGTGCAGGATTCACTACCACTACTAATACTTTTATGCTTATATCCTATTCCATAATGATTTATCCTTTTGTCCCTCTTTTGCTTGCATACGTGTAGCAGTGTGCATGGATACATGTTTATGTGTATGTGGGTACACATGTGTGTGTGCACTTGCATGTGGAGGCCAGAGACCGATGCTGATTTGCTCTCCACCTTACATACTTGAACCCAGAGCTTTCTGACTCAGCTAGTACAGATAGCCAGCTTGTTCTGGGGTTCCCATCTCCTCTGCCAAGGGGTCAAGGTTGCAGGTAGACCACCGAGCCCAGCTAGCACTTATGTGAGTGGCGGAGATCCAAAGTCTGGTGCTTGTGTTCGTGTGGCAAGCACTTTGACGACTAATTCATCTCCTTAGCGCCATCGTGTCTCTTTGATTTTTTTATAACCCTGGCCACTTTTTCAGCAAGATTATTAGCATGTGAGAGGCTCCTGGCTTATTCAGAGTTAAAACATCAGTTGTCAGAATAGCACTCTTTATTCCTGAATATAGGCACGATGCTTCTGTTTTTCATCCCTGCAGCTTATTTTC